AAGTGGCGCTGGTAGTTTTTTCTGTTACCCCCGTCATGATGTCTTACGGTATAGTTTACAAGGCGATTTACGGAGTCTCACGGAAAAGGAAGAGGTAAAGAATATCACACAAGTTACTAGAAATGTTTACAGTGTCAAGTGTCAACTCATTGGTCTTATCGTGTTTCGGTTCATATTTTGGAACTACAGGTTTCTTACAGGAAAGCTGATACCATTGCAGAGCAAGCAATTCAATCAGAACTGTATTTTCTTTTGTTGCTGAGGAAAATTTGGCTGCAAGATATGGTGTATTATTATCAAATTCGGTGCCTCTCGGGGCGAATATTGGGTTCGCCAAGGGTGCGGGAATTGGTGTTATTTATTTGGTTACATATTCAACATGGGCATTGGCTTTTTGGTATGGTTTGATCTTGGTTGCTCAAAACGAGATCTCCGGAGGTGATGTCATTGCTTGCTTCTTTGGTGTCAATGTAGGGGAAGGTATAGACCTCTCTTCCATTTGAGTGCAACTTCTAGTGCTTATTGCAAAAATGAAATCACTAAGTTGTTTGATCTCTTGTTTCAGGGCCTAGGGATTATAAGGGTCTATCTCATCAGGTGGTCAAAAACAGAGAATCGCTATAGCTCGTGCGTTGATTAAAGATCCTAGAATCCTTCTCATAGATGAGCCTACCAGTACCTGCCACAGTCGGAGATGAACAGATCAGGTTTGATTCGGCAAAAGGGGAAAAAGGGTTAGGGATTACAGATGTCTGAATTGGAAATTTCAAAAAAGGGGATTGAATTGGCAAAGGGGGAAAATAAAAATGAAGGGTTAGGGATTGTTGAGGAATTGGGAAATACAATTGGGAAATTGAGGATTGTAGAAGATTTGGGGAACCATTCTAAAGTAAAAGAGCGCGTGGAGATTTTGGAGGAAAAGCCCATCACTAATGAGAATGACCAAACCCGATTGAAGAGTCCACTTAGCCTTCATTAAGACGTTAAGTTTGTTAAAGAAAAGGACATCCAACTCGCACCTTTAGATTTGATATCATATAATCAAATAAGACCTTGTACTGCCATGAGAAAATTATGAATGAAAATATGTTTGATTTCTTCTTTTAAAACCTCTTTTTTTCTCTACTCTCTTCTCTTTCTTAAACAATACCTTCAATCTATAACAATTTGGTATTGAGAGTCATCCTTCTTGGCATATTGATATCAGAATATGCCACCAAAGAAAAACCAAACAATGAATGAATCTACAAATCTGTCTACCTCCAAAAGCATATTAAAGATCTCATAACACTAGTAAAGCAAGCATCATATGACACTAAACATAATGAAAGAATTATCACATTGGAGAATCGAATCAACACTACTCAGGTCTATGTTGAAGAGATTTTGAAGATTCTGACTAGCAGGAATGAGGAGCAAGAGCAAACTGTTTTGGAGAATGAATATATATAAAATACCACTGATACAAAATCTACAAGAAAAAAACCTGTTATGGTGACTGTTATTAATGATAAATCTCGCTTTTCATATAAAATAGATGAGCTTGGTATCTTGAAATCGAAACTTGATGAAGTTCATGCTAGCTCTCATGTTTTAAAACTTGATAATCAAAGAAAGGATTATAGTAGTAATAAATTGCATCTAGCGGAATGTGGGGATGAAAGAAAAGGGATAGGAGGATCCTCTAGCAATTTTGGTTTGATACTACCTAGACCTAGTCGAACTAACACTATTTGATGGTACAAATCCTAGGCGATGAATTTAAAAGTGCAACAAAAATTTTCATTTGATGGGGGTACCCGAGGAACAAAAGATGGAAGTGGCTTCCATGTATTTAGTTGGAATGGTTGAGACAAGATTCGATGGTTATATCTTGCAAAAATTTCATGTTTTTTTTTGGCATGAGTTCGAAGCAGACCTCTTTCATAGGTTTAATGATAAGGCTTTTACCGATATTATTAAAGAATTCAACAAGCTAACTTAGAAAGAGACCGTGGATGATTACTAAGATAAATTTGATGAATTAAAGTCTTATGTGTTGCTACAAAATCCAACCTTAGGTGAAGAATTTTTTGTGTCTATCTTTGTCAGTGGATTGAAAGAGGAATTGAAGCATAGAGTGAAAGCATTGGGTCCTAAAAATCTAGCAGAGGCTTATCGACAAGCTAAACTTTATGAACTCTCTGTGGAGTATGACACAAAAAGTCAGAGGCCCAATTTCTGAAACCCAACCAACCCATCCTCAAAAACTTATGTCTGGTTTGTTTTGCATATAAATACCTAGAAAAATTCGCCTGCAACTCAAACGAAACCAAATTTGATGGAGTATAGGCGACAAAATGGATTATGTTTCAAATGCGGGAAAAATACACTCAAGGTCATCAGTGTACAGTTTGACAATTGAACATGTTGGAGGAAGTTGTAGAACAACCTAAAATACAAGAGAAAGCTACCGAACATATTACTAAATCTGAAGAAGAATCATTAGAGATCTTGGTCAACGTTATTACAAGTTGTATTAGGCATAATATATTACGAATTCAAGGCACGATTCAGGGTAAACCACTAAGTATTTTGATTGATAGTGGAAGTACCCATAGCTTTCTTTCCCTAAGATGGGCTACTGCAGGAGCAGAATTAGTCACAACTTACCCCTTGACTATCACTGTTTCTAATGGGGATAAATTGTTCAACTATGCTAAATGTAATTAAGTAACTTGGTTGATACAAGGACATAAATTTACTCATGATTTTAGAGTCTTGCAATAGGGTGGAAGCGGTATGATCTTGGGTGTTGATTGGATGAAACTTTACAACCATATACTTATGGATTTTAATGATTTGACCTTGACTTTTGCCAAAGGTGAAGAACAAATTGTGATTTAAGGACAAGACCATTATGACGTGTTAAAGAAAAGTTCAGAAGTTGATTTGAAAATATTAACAGTGATGGATTTAGATTAGGTGGGCCATATTTTTATGATTAATATGACAATGAAAGAGACAATCACTCAAATTCAGTTGTATCCACTGTTAGAAGAATTTATCGATATTTTTTAAGAACCTAAAGGATTTTCACATGCCCGATCTCATGACCATGCTATTATAATTAAACCATATTCAATCCAAGTCAATCTTCATCCATACATATTTTCTCATCATTAAAAAGTCGAGGTCGAAAAACAAATTACAGAAATGCTCTCTTATTCCATTATTCAGTTGAACAAAAGCATGTTTGCTTCTCCATGCTTACTTATCAAGAAAAATGATGACTCGTGACATTTTTGTGTAGATTATCGAAAACTTAATGATATGATCATCAAGAATAAATTTTCAATTCCTGTGGTAGAAGATTTATTGGATGAGCTCAATGTGGCTGTTTATTTTTCGAAGATTGATTTGCTTTCGGGTTATTGGCAGATTCATATTAAACCTGAGGACATTTATAAGATGGCATTTCGAACGCATCATGGTCACTTCGAATTTAAGGTAATGCCTTTCGGTTTGACCAATGTCTTAGCTACATTTCAATCCCTTATGAATACCTCATTTGGTACTTACCTCAAGAAGTTTGTGTTAGTTTTCTTTGATGATATCTTAATGTACAACCACACTTTGGAAGAACATAAAAATCATTTGCATCTAGTACTGCAGACTTTGAAGGATAATCACTTATTTTCTAAGAGGCCTAAGTATTTTTTTTGACCAGAAGTCATTGTAGTATATGGGCCATATAACTTTTGAGAAAGGGGTGTCTATGAATCCTTCCAAGGTACAGACAATGAAGAATTGGCTATTGCCACAAAACATTAAATCTCTGCGGGGATTTATCAAATTAACCAGATACTATCGATAATTCATTAAATATTATGGAGCAATTAACAGGCACCTTACAATGATGTTAAAGAATGATAATTTCAAATGGACTAAGAAAGGCTTGAGAGCTTTTGAGCTGTTAAAACATGCTATGTGTTAGGCCCTAGTTTTGGCCTTACCAGATTTCTTTAAGTGTTTTTACTTGGAGACTGATGTGAGTTCGAAGGGAACATGGGCTGTTTTATCTCAAGATGGTCACCTTATTTCTTATTTAAGCAAGGCATTGAGTCCACGACACAAGGACCTTTCAATTTATGAAAGGGAATACCTCGCTATACTTTAGCCGTTTCAAAATGGCGTCATTATTTGGAAGGATGACCCTTTGTTATCAAGACGAATCATAAACCTTTAAAATATTTTATATGAGCAAAAATTGACAACTATAGTTCAAAAGTGAGGCTTTACTAAGCTACTAGGACTGGATTATATCATCCAGTATAGAAAAGGGAAGTCAAATGTAGCAACAAATGCACTTTCAAGGGTGCTTGATGATTTAAAAGAAGGACACTTGTTGGGGATAACCACAATTACACCTACTTGGGTCACTGAAGTGGAAACTAGTTATAAAGATGATCCTATTGCTAAGGAATGGATTCCAATCCTTAAGGTGAGTCTCAATGCACACGATAAATGGAAGTTTTCTAAAGGCATCATTCAATATAATCATCGGGTTTATATTGGTGAAAATGAGAGTCTTTGATTGCAACTTCTCCAAGCACTTCATGATTCTCCACAAGGCGGCCATTAAGGTACGCAAGCTACGTATAAATGGCTTAAAAGTTTCTTTTAGGCCTCGATTAAAGTCCATGGTTAATGTTTATGTGCAACGATGCGACATTTGTCAACAAACAAAAGTTGAACACGTGAAAAAACCAGGACTATTACAACCTTTGCCAATTCCTAATCAAGCTTAGGAGATAATCATTATGGATTTTGTTAAAGATCTTCCTACATCTATGAGGAAAAATTATATATTGGTGGTTGTCGATAAATTTATGGAGTACACTCATTTTTTGGCACTATCTCATACTTAGACATCAGTGGATGTTGCTCGCTTATGCCTTGACAATATCTACAAACTACATGGTCACCCTAAAATCACAGTTTCAGATCGAGACAACACCTTTACCAGTAATATTTGGAGGGAATTAATGAAACATTTGGGTACAACTTCACTCTACAACACATCATATCATCCTAAAACTGACGGGCAGACAAAAAAAGTAAATCAATGCCTAGAACAGTTCGTAAGGGGGTTTTGTTTCTTAAAGCCAAACCAATGGGCTCAATGGTTGCCACACGCCGAGTAGTGGTACAACACAACCTTGCAGCTCACCCATTTTCAGGCATTTTGTGGCTACAAACCCCCCACTATGGCTTGACAAACTGACTCGCATGTACAGACGGTGAATGGTATGCTTCAAAATCACGAGGAACTACGACATATTATCAAGGATCAACTTCAACAAGCACAAAATCATATGAAACAACAAGTTGATAAACACAAAATAAAAAAAATTGAAGTGTGAGAGGAGGTTTACCTCAAGTTGCAACCCTACATGCACTCGTCCTGGGCTTTAAGAAAAAACATAAAGTTAACTGCTAAATACTATTGTCCCTATAAAGTGTTGGAGAAGATTAAAACGTAGCGTATCACTTACAATTACTTCCAAATTTACGACTTCACCCTGTCTTTCATGATAGTATATTGAAGAAGAAAATCGACAACACCATTTTACCGTCTTCAAACCCCCTGTAGTGGAAGAGACATGATAGATTAGGGTTTTACCATTATTGATTTTGGGAAAATAAATCATTAAACGAAATGACAAACCTGTAACACAACTTCTGGTGTGATGGACGAATCTTGATGCTTTACACGATTCTTGTGAGGACTTCAATGTTTTGAAGTCTCATTTCCCACACTTCGATCCTTGGGGACAAGGATTCGTTTAAGGGGATGGTATTGTCATAATTGGAGATAAGGAGGTCAGGTTTGATTTGGTAAAAGGGGAAAATGGTTAGGGATTACTGATGTTGGATTGGGAATTTCAGAAAAGGGGAAAAGAAAAATGAAAGGTTAGGGATTACCGAGGAATTGATAAATACAATCGAGAAATTGGGGATTGTAGAAGATTTGGGGAACTATTCTAAAGTCAAGGAGCATGTGGGGAATTTGGAGGAAAAGCCCAACACTTATGAGAATGATTAAGCCCGATTGAAGAGTCCATCTAGACTTCATTAAGACGTTGAGTTAGTTCGAGAAAAGGACATCTAGATGGCACATTTAGATTTGGTATCATGTAATCAAATAAGACCATGCACTGCCATGAGAAAATTATGAATGAAAAATATGTTGTTGGTTTCTTCTTTTAAAACCTCTTTTTTCTCTCGACTCTCTTCTCTTTCTTAAACAATACCTTCGATCCATAACAGTGCCCTGGATGCCGAAGGCGAGACGGCTGTCCAATAGGCAATCGACAAGATTTCGAAGGGGAGAACAAAAGTGGTCATTGCTCACAGGCTAACAAATGTAAGAAATACTAACATCATTGTTGTTCTCGATAACGGATCGGTTGTTGAGGCTGGTAGCCATCACCAGCTAATGAAAAGAGAATGAGAGTATTATAAACTTATCAAGCTTGCTTCTGAAGATATTTCAAACCCTGAACCAAGATCATCATATGAGAAATCAGCCTATGAAGCATTGAGATTGCCATATAAGTACGATATTTCACGGTCAAAGTACTTAAACTTCATCCAAGTAGTTAATTAAGTTGATGAGGAAATACAAAAAAAGTAAAAGCCTAGATAATAACGAATTTAAAAAATATGGTCTCTACAACGACCGGAGCTCATCATATTTTTACTCGGTTTTCTTTTCGGTATCAATGCAAGTGTTATTCTCTCCATTTCTCCCTTTCTTTTAGGCATAGCTCTTCAAGCTTACTTTGGTGACACTTCACAAGAGTTTAAGAGAGAATTTAACAAGCTTGCCTTAGCTTTTATTGGCCTAGGCTTTATTTCTATAATTACTTAGACTGGAAAACAAGGTTTCTGTGGTTGGACTGGAACAAAGCTGACACTAAGGGTGAGATACCTCTTATTTTGTTCGATACTAAACCAAGAACTGGGATAGTTCGATTTCGAGGACAATTCCACGTGGATCCTCGTTTCAAGGCTCTCGATTGACTGTCTCAACTTTCGATCGGTCAGCAGGGATCAGTACTCTATCGTGTTGATGGGTGAGAGTGCAACTATTGTGGGGCTTGATGTTTCGTTTTACCTCGAATGAAGGTTAGCTCTCGTGGCTGCCACGGTCACTCCTTTCACTCTCGGTGCAAGCTACCTGAATTTGATTATAAGCATCAGACCGAGGTTAGATAACAAAGCATATAACAAAGCCAGCAACATCGCTTGTAACACCCCCAACCCATATCCGACCCGGATACGAGTCCGAGGTGTCACATTGACTTTTTAAATCATTTACTTTGACAAAAAATAAAATAATTAAATAAAAATTCAGTTTGACATTTTCAATAACCAAATAATTGCTATTGTGTAAAACATATTGATTTACAAAACTTATCAGAGCGTATCCGACACCAATCTTTTATCTTACATGCCAACTACATTTCATAAAATGCATATAATTCAAGATTTTTCTGATCTGAACTTCAGGAAGGAGATGATGACCTGATGAGCTCATCTTCGATCCATTTTTCCTCTTCTCGAAACCTACGTGTGAAACATTCACACGCTAAGTCGACGACTTAGTGAGGCATTAAATTATGAAAGAACTCTAACTATTTACACATACATGAACATATCCTCTTATATCTATTCTTTTACTCAACATATTATTCAATTAACCAAGCAATAAATCATATCAAATTAAGAAATACATGCATGCATATAAATCATCATTAGTCACTTATCATTTAATCACATAACACATATACTTAACCTTCTTAATCATATACTATACATATACCTCATCATGTCCTTGCTATAAAATTTATCATATCACAACATATATTTGTTATTATCTTTTGATTAACCCATGTACATATGTGAGAACTATTGATATGTGAGTCTCTAGAGGTTGTGCACTAATGCTGTCACCACGGCTCGTATAAATGCACCGAAGTGCCACGTAGAATTGCACCGAAATGCCACGTAGAATTGCACCGAAGTGCCGTGTAGAATTGCATCGAAGTGCCATATAAAATGTCCCTAAGGACCACGTAGAAAATTCCTTAAGAATAATATACATATGTGAAGGATCAAGTATGTGTCTCAAAAGACATCACACATGTTCCAAGGAATACATATATGTCCAGAAGGACCGCGTAGACCCTCGACTCTTAGCATGCCAACCATACCTCTAGCTCTCAGGACACATAACATGGGCATTAATATTTATGTTATCACACATTCACATATTTACCTAGTCATATAGTTCTTTCACATAGCTCATTGTCATATAAATCACATATCACATATACATATAAACACATGGTTCACTTACGCGTAGAATATTTTCATATGATTCACATATCACAGAGCTTATCACGTAATAATTGTATTCTTTTTCATATAATCACATAGTTATATAATATTTCATATGACATATACTTTCTCTTTCATATATCTCATGTCATGTAACATATCTTATGATCATGTAACCATGTTACTCATAATCACATAACTTATACTCATAAGGTTCAACATCATTAAACTTAGTTCACTTTCCATATTATCATACATTTATATAATCTTATATGTCCTATCATTAACCTATAAACTTACTCATATACTCATATAACTATTATCCTTTCTCTGGTAATCGCATAGATCACATTTTATAACGTACACTATGTAAATATAATAACTTATCTCATATAATATAACTTATGGTTTATACTTTTATATTCACATAAATTATGTAACATATTATAACCTATAAACATATAGCACTTATGCATGTATTCATGTACACATTTTCATATAGTCTATATATATATATATATATATAACTCCATGTTTTACATAATTACTTATCTCCCATCATTTATTTACTAATTTCATATATTTACCTAGTTCAGATTCACATAGCTTATCACATATACAAGTCTTCTAATAAATTATCATCAAAAGCTCCTATAATATCTCTCTATGGCTTCATAGATTTTTACTATATATCTTATTTATTATAAATTCATTTAAGCCTATAAATCTTTCCCATATAATTTATCTTACATGTTTATATAATCACTTCCTCTTGTTATCACATAAGTAATTGGTATTTTACATAATTCGTTATCATTGCCATATAACACATATCATATAAATTCATACCACATAACATGTAATACGAACTAAGCATATTCACGTAATATCAAACATAATCATACTTCTAATCATACAATTATATATTCAACACATTGCAAACAGACTTGTCGCAAGTCCAATTTCCATATACAATTCATATATTCTAATAATACGCACTCACCTGGCCTCATTAGTCAATACCGATCTGTTATCTTTTCCTTGATCGATCTTACTTGCCAAGTTCCGGAACTTGTTTAGGCTCTGTATCTACATAGTAATATATTGATACTTATCAGTATAATAATTAATATATTCTAAACTATCATTTCTTAGGCTAAAAGAAAAGTTATTTTCATCTCTTAATAAATGTATACATCGATGCACTACACCGTGTATCGATGCATCCCTTGATGGGTTAATCGATGCACTATCTATGCATCGGTACATAAATCCCATTTGATGTTTTTATTTTAAGGGGGTGCATTGATGCACTACTTGTGCATCGATACACTGATGGCATTCGATGTTTCTTCTTTAAAGAGTGCATCGGTACACATTGAATGTGCATCGGTACACATTGAATGTGCATCGATACACTTTGCCCAGAATTCATATTTTACGCCCGAAAATCATCAACTCTTCATTCAATTCTTCTATTTTAAGCCCCTATCATGACATTAAATTCAACTACCATTACTTAAACCAACTTATATTCATATAAATCATCTCTATCTTTCATATCTCTTCATGATTCTTAATTTTAAGAATCGTACTAAACTTTCAACTTTGTTATTAATCCCTTCTAACTTCATAAATCTCTTATTCTTAGTGAAGACAAGTCAAATTCCTTCTCAAATTTCACTTATTAACTATTTTCCAGAAATTCATCTAAAAACTCATTTTCTTTAATCTCTTCTATATCTTTCATCTTGTTGTTTTATAACAAATTAAGCTTTCCTTAAGCTTAATTATCATTTAATGATCATAACCCAACCTTAAAATCAACAATTAATCAACAAGCAAAGAAACTCACCTTTGAGCTTGGAGATACGGGAGGAGGAAGAAGAAGAAAGAAAACTCTGGAGAATTCTCTTATTTCCCACGTGGTTCTCTTATCTTATAAAAGGAATATAAAAATTTTCCTTGTCAAATGACCATTTTGCCCTTTTATTCCTTTATTAATTACTAACAACTTCTAGGAAATATTTCCATATAAATCATTTAACTATTCAATTATTCTACTTTAATCACCAAATTCCGAAACATTTCAATTTGGTCACTAACCCGGTATTGAGGATGTTACATCGCTTCCGGTGCGATTTCAAATATAAGGACGGTGGCAACATTTTATTCACAATAAGAGATAGTTAAATCATTTGATAGAGTTTTATCCGAGCCTAGGAAATAATCAGTCAAAAGGTCAAAACTTATAGGTCTCACATTTGGTTTCTCTCAAGGTGCCATGTATTGTGCATACACTTTTACACTATGGTATGGTGTCCACCTTATAAAACATGGCCATACCAGTTTCGGTGATGTATGTAAAATCTTTCACATTCTCGTGTTAAGTTCGTTTTCAGTCGGACAACTAGCAGGCCTTGCACCAGAAACCACCAGGGCAGACACAAGGATACGTTTTGTGTTTGATATCATCGACCGAAAGCCATTGATCGGTAACTTCCTAGATGAAGGTAGAATACACGAACAATATAAGCCATTGGATATCAAATTGAAAATGGTGAGATTTTCTTATCCATCTAGGCCTCAAGT